TGCTGGCCAGTGTGGAATTTTAAGGCTCCTCTATTCAGAACAGTTTAACTTTTCATGCTGCTTGGCCAAAGGCATGGTCCTGGGACCTGTTCAGCTTCCATCAACCAGTTACTGTAGAGACCAGGACACCTTGCTTCCCTGCCCAGGCAGGGATGTCTCCGAGTTGCCTGTGGCCCACGTGACAGGTGTGTAGAGGTGAGGTTGGGGTGGGGGTGGACAACACAGTAATGAAACATGGGTTACCGGCCCCTGTAGTCTCCGCTTGGGTCAGTGAAGACTACACGGCTTGTTTGTGTGCTTGGTTATCTTTTCTGTTTTATGGGGAGGGGGCGGGGTCTCACAATGGAACCTTTCCTGGTCTGGAACTCAGAGATCTGCCTGCCTCTGCTGGCCAGCACCAGAGTTAAGGTGTGTGCCACAGCGCTCAGTCTCGTTTTGAGATTGAATCTCACTGTCTTACTGTCTAGCTTAGAATTTGCTATATAGCCCAGGCTGACCTCAAACTTACTTACAGAGGCTAGCTAGCCTGCTTTTGCCTCCTGAGAACTGAGGGTAAAGGTGTGTCCCAGCACACCCAACATACTAGACTTTTAATAAATGCTTAATGAATGGAAGAACGTGAATAATAAGTACAATGATGTTAAATGCACGTCTTGATTGAAAAACTTCAGCTAAATTGAAAACTACCAAATACATTCTCAACTAAAATCATTTTTAAAAGAGGTATTAAGAATTATTAGCCTCTTAGAGAATATACAAAGTAGAATAATATTAAGTAATATAAAATAATGAAATCACTTTGAGGCAATGACAAATGCCTGACAAATCTATAATGAGAATGGTAAAAAAAAGTAACTGATTAAATATTGAAAATGTGCTTTATAAGTTAAACATTAAATATCCAAATTTTTTCCAAATTTGAATTTGTATTTCAGTTTCATTATTATAGGTTTTAAGTATGTTGCTTGTGTGTGTGTGTGTTCCTACAAATGTATCAGTAGAAAAGATAACAAATTACTTCGTTTTGGTTCTCAAAATATTTATGTTCCCTAAGTCTTTTCCACAGTTTAGTAGAGTTTGGACTCCTTTGCTGCCTTCTTTCCACATCCTCACAATCTGTTGCTGTTGCAGTGGGTTAATTGAAAGATTTAGTTAACTTGCATTGTTCAGAAGTTAAAAGTTCTATCCCACACACTGACACTGAATTAGGCGCAGTACATCTGACTCATGGGGCTTTCCTGTCTTAACTAGTGGCCAACATGGCATAGACTGGACCCTGGTGACTGAGGATCCAGGGTTTCCTTTTTTTTTTTTTTTTTTTGCTTCGTTCTTTAGTTTACTTCTTCTTGTTCTTTAACTCCTCGATCCCCAGACTTCAGGTATGACCATTCATTAACTCCGTGCTTAGTCTTGGCCTCAGCAGGAGTTAGGACATTTTTACTTGAAGATATTTTCGTTTTGTTTGGTGCTAGAGGGTAGGAAGGTGTTTTCTGTGGATATCCTGTGCAGACAGATTGGACAGGAACTTGTTGTACAAGAACAAAGAGTGAGTGGGAAGAAGGAAGGAAAGAAGGAAGCTCTGTAAGAGCCGGAGATGAGAGGGATGGGGACAGGAGGGACTGCCAGGCTAGGGAACGGAAAGACAGTTTCCCTGGCTTGGGTTCTTCTGGGCTTTTCTCTTAGCTACTGCATTTATCTTGTGCTTTTCACTTCATCTAAGGAGTATGTACCACTGGTTGGCTTTTATTAAATTTATTAAAATTTTAACAAGAGTTTTTTTGTGTGTATGTGTTGGTTATATATTTGAATATATTACCTAACTCTCCTGGGTGCAATATTTTGAGGACAACAATACCCCTAACTCTTCCCATAGCTTTAAATTTTACACAAAATAGTTCTGTGAACTCCATTCTTTTTATGTTTTGAAGGTAACAATTTGACTTTGGTAGCCCTCTTTTGGGCCTGAAGTTCCTCCCCAGAGCAGATGAAACATGTCTAGATATTTTCTTGTGTATTGACAGTTGGCAGTACAGAACTTTTGTCCATCACATTTAAAGGGACATCTAGTGTAAGCTGAGCTATGCATGGCTCCAGAGGGCTGGCTGCTCCTCTCCAGTAGTACCTGCTGTGAGTTTGCAAGCCACACGTTTATCCTTCAGCAAACCTTTTGTCGTGTGCTGGTTAGTTTGTTTGGAGATGGGGATCTTGCTATGTTGTGCAAACTTATGTGATCTAGGACTTAAGATCTTCCTCCCTTAGCCTCTGGAATACTGGGATTGCAGCCATGTGCCACATGCCTGGTTTAAAAAATATCTTTTTAAAAAAGCCTCTTGTACATAAGCTCTTGGGGAGGGAGGGGGCTGTTGTTCACTATTCAAGAAACAAATAAGAAACTTTCTGTCCTTAAAACATTGCACCCTAGAGAGTTAGGAAATATACGTGCATATAGGAGTGTATACACTTTTGAATAGGATCATCAGAAAATGTCATCCTCAGAGGGTTACATTCGAGTGAAATATCTTTGGGATAAGTATTTTAGCCAGAAGAAAAGGCAAGTGGGGAAAAAAGAAAGGCATGGTGTGTACCTGCCCTGTTTAAGGGTAGTGGCCAGCACAAAAGTAAGGGTAAGGGAGGACATTCCTTCATTAGGGCTGGATGGAGAGAGGGCTCATTGGTTAAGAGCACTCCCTACTCTAGCCAGGAACTGAAGCTCAGGTCCCAGCACCAGACGGCTATAGACACCTGTAACTCCAGCTCCAGTGGAACTGATGCCCTCCTCCCACCTCCAGGGCACCCATACATGAGTGCAGACACACTGTTTTAAAAATCTTAAACAACAAAACCAACCAGTGTGTGATGGTGCACACCTCAGTACCAGCAGTGGGGAAAGGAGAGGGAAGTGGACCTCTGTGAGTTCAAGACCAGCAGGGTGTACAGAGTGAGACCCTGTCTTGAAAGGAAGAAAAAGAAATAAGAAGGAAAGAAGGAAGGAAGGGAGGGAGGAAGGAAGGAAGGAAGGAAGAATTGGGCAAATTAACCTATAAGGAACCTGAGAGGCCCTTTAAAGATTTGATTTTTACTGTAAGTTTGGAACCCATGAAGAATTTTAAACATAGAGTTACAAACTATGACCTTTTAAAACTTTACGGGGAGTAAGTATAGACACATAGAAACTAGTAGCCTAGTGAAGCAGTGTTGGTGGAAGTGAAAAGGAAGAATGAGAAATGGATAGATTTCAGGTATTTTAAATTTTTCATAAGCTGGGCAGTGGTGGTATACAACTTTAATCCTAGCACTTAGGGAAGCAGAGGCAGGTGGATCTCTGGGTTCAAAGCCAGCCTGGTCTACAGAGCAAGTTCTAGGATAGCCAGGGCTACATAGAGAAAAGAAAACCCTGTCTCAAAAAGCCAAAAAAAATTTTTTTACATTAATTTATGTATGTGTGAGTGCGTGTGTTCATGTACACATTCACACGTGAGGTCAGAGGACAGTGTGTGCGTGTGCATGTGCACATGTACACATTCACATGTGAGGTCAGAGGACAGTTTGCAAAAGTAGGTTCTCTTCTTCTACCATGTGGGATCCGAAGATGGGACCAGAGTTGTCAAGCTGGGCAGTAGGCATCTTTACCACTCTCTAGAGCCATTTCTCTGGACTGATACGTGTTTTCTGAGAGTAAGAGTTAAGAATGGAGTCATAAATGGTCACGAAGATTGTGGCCATAGCACCTGAAAAGATAGAATTACCATTGAATGAGACGGAGAATTTTAGCATGAAGAGTGGATTGGAATTAAGATATAGACTAGAAAGCAGCTTTGCTTGGTAAATTTCAACAGTGTTATTGGTGATTTCTGGCCTTCGTGCTCCTGGAAACACAGTTATATGTTTATGTAAATTAGCTCAGAAATCCGCCTGCCTCTGCCTCCCAAGTGCTGGGATTAAAGGCGTGCGCCGCCACCGCCCGGCTAGCTTTGTGGATCTTAACTTTGAAGTTTCACAAAATAGCATAGATGTGCTATTTTCTACTTTTTGCCTTTGTTGGGTTTATGTTGGTTTCAAACCACAGAAAACTAAGTTCTAAACATTAGTTAATGGGTGTTTGCTTTGTTGTTGTTGTTGTTTGGTTGTTGTTTTTTGAGGTGGGGGGATCTCACTATGTACTCAGTATAGCTCTGAATATCCTGGAACCTGGAACTCACAGTAATCTGCCTGCTTCTGCTTCCTCGGTGCTGAGATTAAAGACACATTTCATTATTTCCTGTTGCTTGCATTTTTTATAAGTTGAGTATCATGCAATTAATAGCTCTTGAGTACAGATTATGGAACCTTTGGAAAAAATATGATTGTCACTCATAAATACATTTTGTGGTTGGGAAAGAATTGTAAAGACAAGGAATTGATGCAGTGCTCTTTGAAGAGCACACAAAGGAAATGGCCTGTGTGATTTCCTGGGGAGACTGCAGATTCACAGGGGACCTGAAAAGTGAGGGGTCAGCCAGTCAAGAGAGAAGCAAAGAGGAGGGGCTGGAGAAATGGTTCTTCCGTAAAGTGCTTGCCTTCAAGCATGGGGGCCTGAGTTTGAGTTCCAGAACCCATGCCTTTAAAAGCTGGGGATGGTGGGACACTTGTGATTCCAGTGCTGGGGTGTGGGGAACAGCCTGAACGATCTACTCGTTGAGTCCCAGCCTACACACAACACACACACACACACACACACACACACACAGAGAGAGAGAGAGAGAGAGAGAGAGAGAGAGAGAGAGAGAGAGAGACCAGGAGAAACCACTACAGGTATAATGGATTGTGTGAACAAGGCCCAGATGTGGAAGGCAGCCCCAATAAACTTACAGTGTAAGGTGTGGTGTGGGGAGAGGTGAAGCAAAAAAGTTCTGCCTTACTCATGAAAGGACTTGAAAACCAGAAACAAGGAGACCAGGAGTTTGATGAATAACTCTTAAAGGAGCTCAAGAGTGATGTGGTCCAATTTTTGTCTTAAATAGATCACTTTGCCAGCTGTGTGGAGGATGGATTTGAGGGAGACAAGACTGGAGGCAGTAGTCCAGGTGAGATCTGTGGGGATTGAACAAAGCATTGAAGGAGAGATGGAGAAGGAGGAATGACTTGAAACAAAAGGAAACCGCAGATGCAAAGTTCCTTTCCCTTCAAATGTGGCAAAATCAATTTTGAATAAATTAGGAAAGAGTCGTAAGAGAACAATGTTACATGACATAGATGAATCATTTGCCTCGGCAAGCAGCCATTTAACACAGTCCCTTGGAGCAAGAGCATTGCTACAGAAAGAACAGTGGGTCTTTTTGGTTTTGGTTTAGTTGGTTTGTTTGTTTTGCATAACCAAACTAGGGTATGAGAATCAGGTAATTTTAAACAAATGTACAAGATTAGATTCAGAAACTTTAAAAGCTTTAAGGAAGAAACAGATCTTACAAGGGCTTAGCTGGTGTGCATAATTAAAACTCAAAAGTATATTGATGGTATTTTCTAGAACCTTGATTAAGTTACTAATAAGTTCTGCTCAGGAAAAGAGATTGGAGTCTTAAAAATTAAAGAAATGAACAATTGTAAGCTATCATAACATAAAACGACATTTTGGATGCTAACAGTATTTTGTATTAAATTAAAATGTATTTCTTTTTCTTTCTTTACTGTTTTTGAGATAAGGTAAGTCTCACTCTATAGTCTAGGCTGGCCTCAAACTCCTGGCCTCAGTCTCCTGAGTGGTACATTACAGGTATGAGCTGCCATGCCTGATTCAGATGTGTTTCTGTTAGGCAGAGAGCGTCAGGATTAATCTTGCTAGAAGCACTATGTCTGTATTTGTTATTTGTAAATACATGATATTGATATATAAGATACTTATTTCTTGAGAAACTTACTTTCCCTGCTTTGTTTTGTATGAAGGCATAAAGCAAGCACTTAATTAACTTAGAAGGGTTTCTTAACTTTACTATCCATATTTTGGGTCATTACTATATTAGCTGGGAACTAACTATATTAGTGAAGGACACTTCTGTCATCCTAGCACTGCCTAGATGGCAGAAGGATGAGGAGAGAAGGCCACCCTCAGTTCATAGCAAGCTTGAGATTGAGGCCAGTATGAGCCATTTGAGTCTCCAACTTAATCCACCTCCAAAGATCTGCAAGTCATTGCACAACAATGTATCACATGTGCTTATAAAGCTAGTAAGCACTTGTTTTTAAGTTTTGTTTCTCATTTTTAGAGAACTGCACCTTTGTTGTTCATTTAGGTCTGATTTAGGTGAATGCATATAAACCAGAACTAAATTATCTGGTCATGGTCTTCCCTTTGACTACAGTATTACACTTTCAACAAGTCAATTGCTGCCATAAGCCCAGGAAATAACAGCACCTCTTGGTGTATGTTGCTTTTGGGGATAGAGTTGTATGTATCTCAGGCTTGCCTTGAGTTCACTATATAGTCAGTAGAGGATGGCCTAACTAATGCCTGTTATTCTTGTAACTCTGTGAGCAAGTTTAAGTGTACACCAGCACCTCACATGCAGTACTCACTCTGAGCTCTGAATTTTTAGCTGTTTGACTCACTGGATGCCTTTCCCTGTTTGTGTCTTTCAGAAGTTTTGCACCGCCCGTTTGGCTGTGATGCTGAATCTCAGGCACTGAATGAAGCTATCAGGTGGAGCTCCAAGGAGAACCTGCTGGGAGCCACTGAGAGTGACCCTAATCTCTTTGTTGCACTTTATGACTTTGTGGCAAGTGGTGATAACACACTCAGTATCACCAAAGGTGAGACGTCTCTAAGTTCTGCTTTATAGTTTTCTCGGTGGCTGAGAAATGAAGAGCCTGGTGCTGGCTTCTGCCACTGACATTGACCAGGTGATTTGTGCCCAAGCACTTTCAGTTTATTCGTTTTTACCTGTTTCTGGACTGATGCCTTAAAAACAATCAGCTCTATTTGCAGGATTTGTTAAGAATAAGATAATTTTAAACACTTCAGGAATAGTCCATATTGTTAGAAGTTGATGCTCTGATACAGGCTGACATCCACTTGTTTCCATTGAATTGTGACCGAAACAAGATGTAGTGCAGAGGGCTGGAGAGATGGCTCCTTGGTTAAGAGCACTGACTGCTCTGCCAGAGGTCCTGAGTTCAATTCCCAGCAACCACATGGTGGCTCACAACCATCTGTAATGGGATCTGATACCCTCTTCTGGTGTGTCTGAAGACAGCTACAGTGTGCTCATATACATAAAACAAAATCTTTAAAAAAAGAAGAAGGAGAAGGAGGAGGAAGAAGGGGGGGAGGAGGAGGAGGAAGAGCAGCAGCAGTAGCAGCAGCAGCAGCAGCAGCAGCAGCAGCAGCAGCAGCATAGAACCCTACTGGCACTCAGAGAAGCTCCTGTGGACAGACTGCTCCTCTGAAGACTCGTGCCCATCCACAGTGAGAGCAGGACCTTGGACCCAAAGTGTAAGCCTCCTGGCTCACTTAAGGGCACTACCGCTTAGGTTAGCAACAGCCTCACTCTTTGGAGCTGTAGAAAGAGAATGGTCCAGTGCTTACATTGGATAAGTGGCTTCCATTTTGTTGTTATCTGGCTCTCAACTGCACTGGCTGAGACAAGCAGCTGTTTCTATGGGCTAGTGAAAAGAACAGTTATGAGCGGCTATAAATAGAATTAGTTTCATTGGCTAGGAAACATTAAGAACATGACTAGATAAAATCACCAATGAAAACAGTAAGACTTGTAAGAAAGAAGACGAGTGGGCACATTCTCAGTTAATCTGCTGCACTCTTTTTGTTTGTTTTTTGAACCTGTAAAGCCTCCCACTATGAGAAAATGTATTTCAAAATATTTAACTAAATGAAAGTATAAAAACAATCACTTGTCAAACAGAGCCGCTGATTCCTAAGTGTCAGAATGGAGTAGTTAGTGGAAATGACAATACTAAGTCAGCAAGCCTTCCCTACCTTGAGAAAATGTTTCTATATAAAAATTTTATAAGTAGCCATTTTTTCCAGTGCTAGGGATCAAACTTTGGAACCCCATGTAAGTTATGCAACTACTGAAGAACTACAACCTCAGTCCCAATATACCAATGTTTAAGTGCCGTCAGATCTACTAAAAATAACACTCTTTAAAACTGAGTTTCTTTACATTTTATTACATTTATTTAATCTGTGTGTATGAACCTTTTGCCTGCCTTTATACATGTGTACCATACGTGTGCTTTGTGCTTCTTGAAGGTCACAAGAATGGTTGCATCTCATGGAATTGGAGTTACAGATGGTTGTGAGCTAATGTATAGGTGCTGGAAACCTAGCCCAGGTCCTCTGGAAGAGCAGCCAGTGCTCTGAACTGATGAGCCATCTGTCTAGCCCCCAAACTGAGTTTCTCAGACTTAAGTGTTGGTTTGTTCAGAGAGCATGATTACACACACACACACACACACACACACACACACACACACACACACCCCAGAGGGATAGGGACAATGAAGTGTAGGACTTCCTTTGGTCAGCCCTGAGAGTTTGATTTATTGGGACAGATGTTGGAAGAGATGTACATGTGGAGGTTATGCTTATGCACTTAGCAGGGATTCTTACATAAAGCTTGAGGCTACAGCAAAGGACTTCTGAGCCATGCTTTGTTGTGTGGTCCTTTATGCGGCAGTGCTTTGTGTACGTGTTTGTTTGCAAAGCCGTGATGAAGAACATTACTGGTTAGGTCAAATTTTCTCATCCTTATTTTCCAAGATAGTTTCTTCACCAAGAAAACGTTGGTAATTTACTAGTCTAACTAGTCTTACTAGTTAATAGTTATAGAAACTGTTAGTATTTTGTTCAGGGACCAGGATTCCCTTTATATCATAATTGACAATGGGTTTTCAAAAACTCTGAAATACCTGATTTTTATATCAGGTTCTTATTAATAAAAAATATTATGCTCAAGCTTTGTTGTTGTTATAAATGAGGCAGGTGTTAGAATCAAAAGTGTTTGACATCATGCCTGCCTTTTTATATTTTTAAGAAGAAAAAAATATCCTTTAAAAGAACATAACACTTACTTTTGTTACTTTTCTGAAGGTGATAGCTTGCTTGAATTAAATAAAGAAAAATTTGAGGGCTAGAGCGATGCCTCCATGGTTAAGAGCACTTGCTGTGGCTGCAGAGGACCCTGGTCCAATCGTCAGCACCCAGTGGGGACCTGCACCATCTGATACACTCCTGTAGCTTCTTCAGGCACCACACACATACATGGTATACATACATTCATATAGCCAAAACATTTGTACACATGAGTTTTGTGTTGAACATATGGCCTCCATCTGCAATCCTAGCATTTTGAAATACTTGAAACAGAAACATGGTTGGCCAGAGTGGGCTAAAGTGAGTCTCTGTCCTGTACTGACAGGTTCAGTGTCTGTCTCCCTGTCCATCTCCATAGCAGTCAAGAGTTCCAGAGCAGAAAATTCTAACTAAAAAAAAAGTGTGTGTGTGTGTGTGTGTGTGTGTGTGTGTGTGTGTGTGTGTGTGTAAAAACCCTAGGGAGGTTTGAGCTCCATCCTGATTGTGATGGCCTGTATTAAGTAGTTCTGTTTAAGTGTTTAAGGAAGCAGCAGTGTATATAAACACATGTGCAGGCATGCACACATACACATATCTTGAGTTTCCTAGCAAGTTCTTGTGGACAAACAGTTAGTTACTGTGTACCTGCACATTTATGTAGATGTACCACCATACCAGAGACGCATGTCTTATTATGCATATGCAGTGTATAGTATGTACACATATGAGCTCCTACACAGACCTCTGGGTACTTTCATGTTTAGGTGTCTCAGTGAAATAATGGTAGAGAAGAGAAAGCCCACGTTATAATGAATAGTTCTGTAGGCCACAGGAGAAAGATAGATGGCTACCACAGTAAGGCTGAACTTTCCTCACCAGCCTTGGCCTGGTATTTCCTGTGCCCTGTACTACAGATTGGTGTGGCTTCCTTTTGGTCTGTAGCATTAATAGAAAAGCTCGTATCTCTCAGGAATAAGAGCATCAGGCACTACAGAGAGGCTTAGATGGACATTTGCTCTAGTCTGTGCTGCAGGTGTGGGACAGAGTGTATATTGAAGGCTACACCAGATGTTTCCAATTGTAATACAACACCAGGACATTCAAGCTGATAGAAAGATTCACCAAGTGATTGGAATTTTGGGTTCCAACTTTAGAGTTATTTTCTGTTTCCATAGACTAATTTTAGAGAAATGGCAAAGAGTGAGTCATTCTTTATGGGAAACAGGAAGAAACTGAGAAAATGGAACTTTTAAACCTTGAGTCCTGGAAACACTTGTACTTTAAGAGTCCTTGCCAGCCCCTCCTGCTCCTCTAAACCGTTGTCTTGCTTAAAACTCTTTGTTTAGTCTAAGGTCTGTACACTCTGCCCCACACCTGCAGCACAGACTAGAGCAAATGTTCATCCAAGGCCTCTCTGTAGCGCTTCACGCTCTTATTTCCGAGAGGTACGAGCTTTTCTATAGAATTGACACCCACTATATAATGCTAGAGAGCAAAAGGGAGCCACATAAGTCTGTAGTACAGGGCACTTAGTTTAGGAGGTGTTTGCTTACATTGATGGCTTTGTTGTCTTGATAGCATCTGAAAATTTAAGTAACTTTGTATTTCATATGTCCTGTTCATTAACAATGAATAATTAAGTATATATATATATCTGTGTGTAAATCTATTTTAAGTGAAAGTAAACTTTATTGTATTTTTTGAGGAGTAAGTACTATTCGGGTGTTCGTACATATCTGTTGTCCCGCATTCAGGACGCTGAATTAGGATCATGCGTCTGAGGCCAGCCAGTCTAGGCTATATGAGACTCACAGAAAAGGAAAAGGGTGGGAAGGTGGGCTGGCTCAGTAGTTAGTGTTTAGTGCTCTTTCAGAGGCCTGGAGTTCAGTTGTCAGTACCCATGTTGGGTACCTCACAACTGCCTGTGACTCCAGTTCCAGTGGACCCAACCCCTCCTTTGAGAGGACACACAGACACACACAGACACAAGTACTGTCATTTTCTATCTATTTGAGTAAACTCTGTATTCTAATTTAATACAATTCATAGTTTCCGGAAGACTTTTTAAGTGATATATAATCCTTCAAAAGCCCATACTAAGCTGTCAGAATCATTTTTTTGTTATGCTGCTGTGTTTTAAGGTACAAAGTAGAGATCAGTCAGGATGTTAGGAAGTAAGAGCCAGAGTTCTTAGTTCATTTTTCAGTGAATTTGAAGGTTGACACTACACTGCTTCAGTCTGACAGTCCTAACTTGTTTTCCTTCCTGTCTGTGATGATGTCATGGCTAGGTGAGAAGCTTCGAGTCCTTGGTTACAACCAGAATGGTGAGTGGAGTGAAGTTCGCTCCAAGAATGGACAGGGTTGGGTGCCAAGCAACTACATCACTCCAGTGAACAGCCTGGAGAAACACTCCTGGTACCACGGGCCTGTGTCCCGCAGCGCGGCCGAGTATCTCCTCAGCAGCCTAATCAATGGCAGTTTCCTGGTTCGAGAGAGTGAGAGCAGCCCTGGGCAGCTGTCCATCTCTCTCAGGTATGAGGGACGTGTGTATCACTACAGGATCAATACCACTGCAGACAGCAAGGTAAGACTTGTCAGCAACCTGTTCATGTGGACTGGCTCTTCAGTAGAAATGTATTGAACAGGGAAAAAAATATAAAATCGCTTTTATATCTGATATAAAATAAAGTATTGTCTAACTTTGTGAATTTGGGCTATTTAGCATATTAGAGCTTGCTTATTTCAAAACAACTCAGAAAATACAGGTTAAAAATTGTAGATAATTAAAGGTAAGCCATATTTGAAGTTGAGGAATGAAGGGATTTATACAAGTTAGCTGCTTTAATCATCAACACAAATACATACCAAGTACATAGAGAAGGTGTTAAAAGACAACCATAAGCCTTTGGAAGGAGACTTCCTGTCCAGTAGAAAGTTCACAGGGTGCGAGGACATTCGGAGGTGCTGTTCCTCATCAATGTGTAATAATGGCAAGAGATGGATTACCCAGTCAGTCTGAGGAGAGGGAATGTTCTACACTGATTGTTTAGGGATGGAGAGATGGAACACCGGCTGCTCTTGCAGAGACCTGGGTTTGATTTACAGCACCCACATGGTGACTCCCAACCATTTGCAACCCCAATTCTGGGAGATCCAGTGCTCTCTTCTGACCTCCATGGGCACCAGGTATATGTGTGGTGCACAAACATGTGGGTGAAACACTCATACATATAAAACAATAATAGTAATTACATTTGAAAACAAAATTAAACATAAATTATAAGGCCCGAACTTAAACCAGTTGTTCTATAGAATGGTCCATGAAGTTGAGCCCCTTTCCTCTCCCTCAGTAGGACATACAAAGTAGGAGGGACACATGGGCCTCAGAGCAGCCAGGGCTGCGGTGCTGGTGGAGGTGGTGGTGGAGGTGGTGGTGGTGGTGGAGGTGGTGGTGGAGGTGGTGGTGCAGATTTAGACTGGATCTCTTTGTGTACTCCTGTGTACTGGAACTTGCCATATAGACCATACATACAAATATGAGCTTATAGCAGTCATCCTGCCTGTCTTCAGAGTGCTGTGATTACGATGTGCACCGCCATATCTCCTTCACTTTGCCCTCTACTATTATATTTTTATTTACTTTTGATTTTTATTAATGTTGTATATAGAATATGTTGTGTGTGGGTAGGTTTGTGCATATTGGCGCAGTACCCACACAGGCCAGAAGAGGGCTTCAGATTCCCTAGAGCTGGAGCTGTGAGTTTCCTTGCATGGGTGCTGGAGACTGAACTCTTCAAGAGAATTGAACCACTAAGCCATTGCTTCACTCTCCTCCTTGTCTGTTATTAGGTCCACCTTGTGAGATTATTGTAAGGAGTCAGTGAAGCAATGTTTGTAAAGTATGAGAGCTGATTGGGCACAGGAAGTATTTTATTAGCTCCCCCCATCCCTGTAATCACTGTATAAACATAATGTATTGTCTGTGGCCCAAGTGAGTAGGATTGGTGTATGTGATGTAAGAAGAGATGCAGCCGTTATTAGTTGAGGTTTTGTTTTTGGTTGGTTGTTTTTTTTTGTTTTTGTTTTGTTTTGTTTGCTTGTTTGTCTCTATGACAAATATCAGAGAGAAACAGTGAAGAAACATGTATTTTTACTCCTGGTTTCAAAGAGTTTAGTCTACTACCAGTAGTCTGTTAGTTTAGTCTGTTACCTGTAGGCTGTAGTCATGCAGACCATCATGGTGGGGTCCTGTGGTAGAGCAGAGCTGCTCACTCCATAGCACAGAAAGGGGTCAGGAGAAGAAGCTGACTGGCTGAACCCACAGCTGAAGGCCAGATCTTTAGCATAAGTCTTTTGGGGGACACTTTGCATCTACTCCCTAACACACAACAAAAATGAGCACACAGTCTGTGCTGAGATGTCAGACTGTGCAAGAACATTGATTCACAGCAACAGTATTTATGGTAGCCTCAAAGTAGAAGCACCAAGCGGCATAATTGACTAATAAATTATGGTGTATTGTTAAAATAGAATCTGCTACAGAAACAAAAATAAACATGACGCACACAAGTCCATAGGAAGCTGTGGCCTACTATCTGTCTATTCATTTCTGAATTTTCTGAAGCTACTTTGTGTTTCTAAGCAGATCTAAGTAGTTGCTACAGAAACTATATATAGCCCCAAGCCTAAGATACCTGTTTTCCATCCCTGTTCAGAGAATTTTTCTGCCCTTTCCTATAGATCAGTTTCCTATACATAAGGTTGACCGATAGATTAGTATTCGCCAGAGAATTGTGTGAAGAGGAGTGTGGGAGTGCTCACTAACAGCTCTACTAGCTCTGCTGGAGTTAGATAGTGGGGGTCGGTTAGTGAGCCCTGTAAGTGTCCCGGAAGCTACTGAATTGTATACCTTAAAATACTGAATTTTATAGCATGTGAATTATAGATTAATACAGAGAACTGGCAGAAAGCAGACACTAGACAACACATACCGTATGATTTCCTTTACACGCAGTTTAGAGAGAACTAGTCCCACTTGCTGGAAGTACACAGAGTGAAAACCTTCACAGCAGTGAACAGCTGCCCAGGACTCGCTGTTGGTGATGCTGCCACTCTTGCTGTGGCTGATGCTTATTGGGGGAGTTTATTTTGTGAAAGACCACATTCTCCACTTATGAATTATGTACACTTAATATATAAAGATACAACTTTTCACTTGTTTGTTATAAACAATTGTTTGTTTATTTAAACAGCCTGAGCACGATGGCATGTACCCTAGAGACCTAGCAGTCATGAAACTGAGGCAAGAAGAGCACGAGTTTGAGACCAGACTGGGTTATACAGAGGAACACTGTAAATTAATTAGTCAGTTAATTAAAAATAAGTCATACTCCCTTAGATGATAAAGTCAAAGATTGCTATCTTATTTTACACTGATAACTAATTGTCACAAATTAGCAAGCATCTTTTTAATAACTATGAAATTCAATTATGTCTCTTTTTAACGGCCTAGACATTTTAAAAGGGTGTTATAAAAATAAATACAATTTATAATTATGTGATATTAAATCAAAATTATACCCATATTAACCTTGCAATATCTAAATTAGTGGCTGTCAATTTATGTTCTGAGTGGATTGTGACATCATACTTTATTAGCTTAGAAGGCACATCCAGATTGCCTATTTAATCACTTCTCTCAGGGTTGTATGAACTCTTGTTTGTAGCCGTGTCTAGCTTTAGCTCAAGCTGACCTGAAACGCTTGGTGTTCCTCCTCCAGTGTCTTTGGAGTGCTGGCTACACAGTCTACAGTACTGATGCTTAAAATCGTTTTGAGAACTAGTGTGCCTGATGTCCCTGCAGCCACGTTGGACATTCTCATTCAAGGCTAGTTAGAGCAGGAAGAATGGGTGATTAAAATGGATGATTAAAATGAGATTAAGCCATTTCCCTTGCCCTAAGCACTAACACTTACTTTACCTTAATTATGATAACTTCCTGGGGCACTAGTAGCACAAGCATGCAGCCTGTAATCCTTGTGTATTGTAGATGGAGGTCATGTCAGGAGTTCAAGGCCAGCCAGGGCTACGTAATGGAAACCCCCCCTCCCCCAATCTCAAAAACAAACAAGTCAGGCCAGGAACAGTGGTACACATATTTAATATGAACTCTCTGAAGGCAGAGGCAGGTTGATCTATAGGAGTTCAAGGACACCCAGGACTACATAGTTAAGACCCTGTCTAAAAAAAGAAGCCAATCTCTTTCCTGCTGTCTCGTGTCCCCATGGCAGTGAAGCGCTTGCTTGTAAACATGGCTCTCTTCTCCAGCTGCTGACCATTCTTTGCTCACCAGGTGTACGTGACTGCTGAGAGCCGCTTTAACACCTTGGCGGAGCTTGTTCACCACCACTCCACAGTTGCTGATGGGCTAGTGACCACGCTACACTACCCAGCACCTAAGTGCAACAAGCCAACCGTCTATGGTGTGTCTCCTATCCATGACAAGTGGGAAATGGAGCGAACAGATATCACCATGAAGCACAAACTTGGGGGCGGTCAGTATGGAGAGGTTTATGTTGGTGTCTGGAAGAAATACAGCCTCACAGTTGCTGTGAAAACCCTAAAGGTAGGTTGCTGAGAGCTAAGCTTCCAGGCATCTTTGTGTGTGTGCTGAATCACTTGGAAAGATCAGTGTGCCCTTCTTCCACTTTGGAACACTTCCCACCCACTGGTGCCAAACACTTCAGCAAATGGTGGTGATTAACTTAGTGCCTGTGCTGACAGTGCAGGGGCAGATTATTCACTGCAGTGCAACCCACGTGGGAAAAGGCTTGTCTCTGGAGACTGTTGATCGGGAGTTCAGTGAGAATTTAGAAGCAAATTATAAGTTCTGTTGAGAACAACCTCTGCTGGACAGAATTCTTCCTGCGCAGTCTACAGCATCACAAGCTCCCTGTTCTGGTCTCTATCCCTCTACCTTCTGTTTTTCCCTTCCTCCTTATAATTAGAGACGCCCTTTTCAGTTAACGTAGACATGACAGGGTCTCTCTCACAGAAGCCCTTTCTCTGATCCTACTGTCTCTTTTTTAAGTGCCCTGCTATAAAACCAGAGTTGCCACTCCCTGTGGACTTTCCTGTGAGCTGTCACAGGTAGTAGTCAGCCCTGTTTACTAAGTATACTCTGAATGTGAAGGAAGCAGTAAGGCTTTGCAGATGTGCTTTGTTCTTTAAGAACCATGGGCTCTAATCAGACGATCAAACACTAACCTACCAGAAACTCACTCTCAGTCCCCTCTGTTGTAGTTGTTAAGATGAAGTTGTTGAATTTTGCTTCCTTGTTTATTTTTACTCCAGTGTCTGACACTGGATAAATTTAAGGACATTATTCTTAGTTGTTCTTCTATAGAGCATATTAGATTGTAGCAAAATTTCTTAAGGTAATATGCTAAAATACTCAAATGATCTTTTACTCTAAAAAATCTGTATATGGGTGTTTTACCTGCATTAAAGTTCAGCATCAGAGTCCTGAAACTGCAGATGAGTGTGCACTGCCATATGGGTGCTGGGGACCAAACCCAGGCTCTGTACAAGAGCAGCAAGTGCTCTTAACTACTGATCCATGCCTCTAGCCACCTCTTCTTTGGTAGATGAAGTAGGCATGTGAGTTGACGTAAAGGAAAGCTCTGACCTCCTTGTTGTCTTTCTTATGCTGCCTTCTCTTCCCTTTAACAGGAAGATACCATGGAGGTAGAGGAGTTTCTGAAGGAAGCTGCAGTGATGAAGGAAATCAAGCATCCTAATTTAGTACAACTGTTAGGTGAGAACCCCAACCATAGATTTCACAGGTCCACACTCCTGTCCCGGCCTCCTATTATCTTCAGATCATGGTTTTTCAGATTGTTTTGTTTTGTTGTTCTATTTTGCTTTAGCACTGTGGTAGAAATGCTAGATGTAAATTGACTGTGGTAAATGTTAGTTTGAACTAGGGGTAGCCCAGTAATAGAACATTTAGCTATAAGCATCAAGTCTTAGGCTTAGTCCTAAACACAGACACACACACAGACACACACACACACATACACACACACACCAGCCATTTTCTTTGAATGCTCAAATTAAGCTGAGCTATCCCAATATGCTATCTGCCTATATTAGCGAAATCTTTAACTATGAAAACCATTATTTTACAAAGCACAAGTAGAGGCAGGTGGTCTGTTTCACCGCAAGTGAAGTGGTGTTACTTATATTAACATAGGCTGCACACAGTTGCAGGGAGATGTGGGCACATACAAAACTCAGTCGTCTTATCGCTTGTCAGGTCAATATAAGAGACTACTGTGCTTCAGAGGCAGATGCTGAAAAGGTCTGTGCTGCTTCAGAGAACAGTACAGCAGAAACAGGCACCCTAACCAACCTGTTTCTCAGTTGTTGTAGTATTTATTTCATAGAATGTGGTGAAGATTATCACATTGTTCTTGATCAGGTGTGTGTACCCTGGAGCCGCCGTTTTACATTGTGACTGAGTACATGCCATATGGGAATCTGCTTGACTATCTCCGGGAGTGCAGCCGTGAGGAGGTGACTGCCGTTGTTCTGCTTTACATGGCCACTCAGATCTCCTCCGCCATGGAGTATTTGGAGAAGAAGAACTTTATCCATAGGTGAGTGAGTGAGCCTCGCTGTGGCCTCTGACCAGTCACAAGGCCATCCTGTTTGACTTAAGGTGAAGCGAAAAGAAAGTCTTAGCTGTTACAGCCTCAAACCAGAAAGCTGTTTGACATCCAAGGTCCCTTTGCTTCACCTAGTGGCCAGATTTTTAAAGTAATATTTGTCTTAAGTTGGGAGTGTGTGGGTTTTTTATTTTTGTTTTTTGTTGTTTTAAGCTTTTAGGAAGGGTTCTATTGCTAACCTGTGAAATTTAGGGTATTGTTCTTAAAAATAGGAATTCATTTTTCCAGCACCTGTAGGTATTCAGTGCATGGTACAAATTAGTAAGTTTCTACCATGTTGGTGATTATCAAAAGTATTCCAGTGTTAGTATTTCCTTACCAACTATGCTTGCAGCAGAGAACCAAGACATGTAGTCCACACCCATCTTACTCTCAGCAGGAATAACGCAGGGTTCTTTCCCATAGAGATCTCGCTGCACGGAACTGCCTAGTGGGAGAGAACCATGTGGTGAAAGTGGCTGACTTTGGTTTAAGTAGACTGATGACTGGAGACACCTACACTGCCCATGCTGGAGCCAAATTCCCTATTAAATGGACAGCGCCTGAGAGTCTGGCCTACAATACCTTCTCAATTAAATCTGACGTTTGGGGTGAGGTTGACATAATTTCTTATATGCGTTGTGTTATTTCCTTTGTATATGCTCTTAATCTTTTTTTTTTTTCTTTTTCTTTTTTAAACATTAGCTATGGCTACCCTGGTACAGTTCTTGAGACTCCAGCCTCCTTAGTGCTAGGACCACAGATAATTTTCTTAGTTCTTCAGAAATTTTAGTATGCCTAATAATAATAATAATAATAATAATAATAATAATAATAATAAGTTGAGGAGACTGAGATGGAAGAGACTTGGGAATTTGGAATGAGGCCAGCCTGGGCTACTTAACAAGTTGAAGGCCAACTTGAGCCACATAGGTTGGGGTACAGTGTAGTGGTAGGGTACATGTCTGGAGGTACAAGCCACTGTGTCAATCCCAGGGGTGAGGAGTAGGCACAAGGGAAAAACTGTAATTGCTACAGTTGGGGTATGGTAGTGGATGCCTGGAGTTCCAGCATGCTGGGTGCTCAGATCCTTTGAGTCCATGAGTTTGAGACCTGCCTGGACAGTATGACAAGACTACGAGAACAACAACTAAGGAGCTCGGCCTGGTGGCGCAGGCAGGCCTCTGATCTCAGCACTCAGAGAGTGAAGGAGAAGGAGTCGGGTGCAGAGGACGGCCTGGGCTATGTAGTAAGTTCTAGGCCATCCTGGACTGTGTAAGAGCTGTCACAGCAGCCTTTACTCTCTAAGGCTTGTCATGTGAGACTTTTCTCATTTCCAGAGTTCTCTAATAGTGAATGTGCCTCATAAGGTCAGATAACATAACATTTCATTTAGAATCGTCCTTGTCTTGGATCTAATTTCTACTGCCCTGAGAAGTAGAGACTAATTAGAGAGACTCAGTAGACCAAATTAGTATAGAAATTTGGACTTGGGGCCAAATAGAAATATATTTTTTAATTCCTTTACGCAGCTTTTGGAGTACTGTTATGGGAAATTGCTACGTATGGAATGTCACCATATCCAGGTATTGACCTATCTCAAGTCTATGACCTACTGGAAAAAGGATATCGAATGGAACAGCCTGAGGGATGCCCCCCTAAAGTGTATGAACTTATGAGAGCATGTAAGTGTTTTTGCATGTTTGAGCTTTCAAAACGGACCAGCAACAGGATGGTTAATGAAGTGGGCACCATTTCTGCTCTCAGCCTGTCAGACGGATCTAGTCTTGTTAACAGTTAGAGAGCTTGTCATTGACAGGCCAGTTGGCATAATGCATGCTGTACCACTGAGTCCTAATGGAATCCTAAGAATCGTTGTCTGTGGCCCAATATAGCGCCAGTTTCTCAAAAACATAGGTAGATTCAGACAATACGAAGTTGGGTTTGCATAGTATGTTTGAAAGATGGCTGCTTTTACCTAGGTATGAATGGTTACTAAAGACTGATTGTTAAGTAACCTCTGCTAGGCTGGAAAACCTGCCTGAGTCCACATCCCTAGTAACCACATGAGATGCCTGTCTCAGCTGCACGTGCCTGTAACCCCAGTATCAGGATCTCAGAAGATCCCAGGAACTCACTGACCAGCCAGCACACGTAGCTGAAGGGGCCAGCTTCTGGTTTAGAGGAGACCCTAGGTCAAGGGAATAAAGCATGAAACAGTAGAGAAAAATGTCCTGTCTTTTCCTCTTTGGCTTCTACATGCCTTACACACAGGAGTCTTCCATATCTTTGCTACACAAGTAAAAACCAAACAGTAATCTCTGATGAGTGTGGCCAGCGCCATCAGGTTGCTTAGAGATGACGTGTAGGAGTGAGTGGGAGTGGCGTGTGCTGGGCTCATTCCTGTGTCTTACTGTAGTCACTTGTTTCTCAGGCTACCCTTTATCAAGTGTTAGCTTTGCAGTTTCCTGATAGCTTGTTAAACTTCTGAATTTATAACTCGATTTTTAGGAACCTGGGTTGGGGGGGGCAGCTCTCATCATGAACTCCGAGCTGCCTGGAACTCACTGAGTCCAGCAAACTGGCCTGATCTCAGAGATCCGCCTGCCTCTGCCTCCCGAGTGCTGGGATTAAGGATGTGTGCAGCCATTCCCAGCTAGTTCATCTTTCAAATGACTTTATTTACTTAGTTATGGGGAGAGTTATGTGCACTCACACACACATACACGATGCAGTATTAGTATAGAAATCAAGAAAAATTTTGATAAGTAACTAATTTATTCCACCAGTGAAACCCAATTTGAGTTGTCAGGCTTGGTGGTGAGCACTTGCCAGCCCTGTAGTTCTCTCTTCTCTTCTCTTCTCTTCTCTTCTCTTCTCTTCTCTTCTCTTCTCTTCTCTTCTCTTCTCTTCTCGCTTTTTCTTTTCCTTCTTCTTTTTCTTTTGAGACAGGGTTTCTCTGTGTAGCCCTGGCTGTCCTGGAATTCACACTGTAGACCAGAATGGACTCAAGCTCAGAGATCCAGCTGTTTTTGCCTCCTGAGTGCTGGGAGTAAATCCATGCACCACCACCACCACTCTGTGGTTAGTTCACTTCTAATAGAGAAAAACTTGCTATCTTCAAATTTTTCTCTCCATCCTGTCCTCATTTTTGTAGTCGTAGGAATGGGAACAAAGGATAAATAGGACCAGCACTAGGAGAGGGCGCTCACGGCTCCCAAGGCTGGAGCTGAGAGCTACCACTCATCCCACAGTTCATGTACATACTGTAGCCCTGCTAGGGACATGCCTGGCATGCTGCCACTGGGGATAAGTCCCTCAAGGAGGCTTTTAAGTTCTCTTCTGCTGCAGGCTGGAAGTGGAGCCCGGCTGACAGGCCCTCATTTGCTGAAACCCATCAAGCTTTTGAAACAATGTTCCATGACTCCAGCATCTCTGAAGGTGAGTCTTGGGCCAGGGGAGAGACTACTAGTGGCCAGGTGCAGGATGGTAATGGTAATTTCAAATATGGGAAGCTCCCACAGGTGTTGACAGCTGAAAGATATTGACTTGACTTTTGGCCTTTCTTATTCTTTCTTTCTTTTTTTTTCCTTTTTTTTTTTTTTGGTTTTTCAAGACAGGGTTTCTCTGTATAGCTCTGGCTGTCCTGGAACTCACTTTGTAGACCAGGCTGGCCTTGAACTCAGAAATCCGCCTGCCTCTGCCTCCCAAGTGCTGGGATTAAAGGTGTGCGCCACCACTGCCCGGCAGCCTTTCTGATCCTCATGTTACTACTTTTTAATACCTTTTTAGTTCTGAGTTTTCCTATATCAAATTTCATACTGAAATTATATTTTGATTTGAAATTTACTCAGTCTCAACAAAGAAAATAACTTCAGTAATTCTTAAAGAACACAATACAACGAAGATTAAAAAGTAAGTGTGAAAATATTCTAGGCAGTGGAGAGATGGCTCAGCACTAGCAGAGGGTCATACCAGAATTCAGTTCCCACCATCCATTCTGGGCAACTCACAAATACCTGTGACTCTGGCTCTAGAGCAACAGGTCTCAACCTGTGGGTCACAACCCATTTGAGGATCAAATAACCCTTTCACAGGTGTCGAATATCAGATATTTAAATTTCAGTTCATAATAGTAGCAAAGTTACAGTTATGAAGTAGCAATGAAATAATTTTGAAGTTGATGGTCACCACAGTATTGAGGAATTATATTAAAGAGTTGCAGTTTTAGGGAGGTTGAAACTCTGGTCTGGAGGTTCCCGAGCCTCTTCTGGCCTCTGTGGGCGCCTGGATTCATGTATATGAAGTCACGCTTGCATACACATATATACACATGATGATTTAAAGTCAGTCTTTTAAAAATATATTCTAACTCTAAACCACATCTAAGGCAAGACCAACACACACACACACACACACACACACACACACACACACACGGTATCATAAAATTCCATTTCTAGAAATATAAACAGTATAACTAAGATTTATGTAGACAGATATGATGTCTGAGTATAGTTTATAATACTGAAAAAAGTAGGAACAACTTAAGCGTCTAACAAACTTTTAATTATATAAACATAACTAAATACTTATATCTTTAGGTATATTAGGTTATCAATAGAGATGAACTTGTCCTTACTCAAGAAATGGGTACATGGATACATGCAGGAAGAATAGATGGGCACACGAAGGAAGTCTGTGGGCACACACAGGAAGTCTATGGGCACACACAGGAAGCTGCTTGCTTTTGTATGTAGTGTTCTGGAGATACCATGATCAGGTTGTAGAGGCACACCAGTTATCTCAGTAGTCATGGAGGCAGGAAGAGCTCAAGTTCAAGGCTGTCCTGAGGCAGATTATGAGACTAAAAAGCTCATCATCTGCCTTTTGTGGTAAGGAGCGAGACTCTGTTCGTGGAGTCTAAGAATACAGAATTCTTAGTTTCATTTGCCTATATTAGATGCTGTGACATAGTTCTGAAGATTTGTTTTGTTTTTTTGTTTTTGTTTTATTTTTTACATATTTTTCCTTCCCTTCATAATTAAGTAGAATTGGTATTTTAATTTCAAGCTTTAAAATGTTAGAAGAAGAAATCAAGGGATTTGGGCTTTGTCTTCTTCTAGTGATTTATCACAAGATGGTAAGAGAGGGAAAATGGAAGTACAGTATTGACATTTCTACAAAAGTATATCCTGCCCTCCCTCAAGTCCCCCCCCACTGACATACACATATACAACACATATACATAAATATATACATAAACATACACATGAATGAGTGCAATTACAATCCATCAAGTGGTAACAGCTGTGTACAATTTAATTGATTGTTTCACTTCTGTTTCGAAATAAAGAGTAAAGTGTATTTTTTTTTTAAAGATTTATTTATTTATTATATATGAATACACTGTAGCTGTCTTCAGACACACCAGAAGAGGGCATCAGATCTCATTACAGATGGTTGTGAGCCACCATGTGGTTGCTGGGATTTGAACTCAGGACCTCTGGAAGTGCAGTCAGTGCTCTTAACCACTGAGCCATCTCTCCAGCCCGTAAAGTGTATTTTTGCCTCAGTAAAAGCCACACAGCTCATGGCTGAGTTAAATAAAGTGAGTGCTGTAGTGCTGTTTTCATAATTGGGTGTTGGTTGGTTGGGGTTTTTTTGTTGGTGTTTTGTTTTTTGTTGTTGTTGGTTTTTGTTTTTTTTTTTGAGTTTAGAGTTTTGCTTTAGTTTTGGTACTCAGGCGTGAACCTAAAGTCTCTGAGTGTGAGACCAACACCTGAGTGACATCCCAGCTCAACAACAAGGCTCTTGTTTTTCCTGTTGTAGTTGGTTAGTTGTGCGTGCGCGTGTGTGTGTGTGTGTGTGTGTGTGTGTGTGTGTGTGTGAGAGAGAGAGAGAGAGAGAGAGAGAGAGAGAGAGAGAGAGAAAATTTTTTCACTTGAATGCAATGGAATAAATTTATATTACTCACCTTTTTAGTGAAAAATAGAAATCTGTACTGACATGAGTCCCTCTTATTCAGCACTTAGTGAGGTTATCCAAATACCCAGTGAGCACATGAAGCCATGTGCAAACATCTTTGCCAGCAGGAAGTACAGATTAAACATGAGACTCCCGTGACATGGCTGCCAGAATGAGCAGAAGTAAAGTTACATGCCCTGTAGAATAACAACCTCCAATTTTGACAAGCATGCCTAGTAAGTAACCAGCACGTTTACACACTGGTGACGTGGGTGCCACATTAACATGTGCTGTTAGATTGGAAGGAGCCTGATGAAGATCAGTGTGCACCTCGTGACCTATCCATTCATACCAGTTATGTACACAGAAGTCCGTGAGTCACGGAACAAGTCCTCACTACATGTGTGTAGTAACTCAAACTGGAAACATCCTACATAAACACCAAGAGGAGGACAAATGAATTCTGGTAGTCTCATACATCAGCATACTTCGTGGCAATGAGAAAGAGATCCTGCCACATCCAATAACATATATATCTGTAGAAATAATAGTGAGCAAAAGAAGTTGTCCATTAGCGTCTATCTGGGGCTGGAAGGGAGTTCAGTTAGTGAAGTGTTTGGCATTCTGCTCAGATGCTCCGTGGATTCAGATCCCCAGCACCCATGTACAAAGAAAGCTCTGCATGACAGCACATACCTGTGGGAGATGGAAACAGGAGCTCCCTGCTGCTTGCTGGCTAGCCAGTCTAGCTGAAACGGAGCTCTAGGCTGGTGGAGACCCATCCTTAAAGGGTGAGGTGGAGAGAGAGCAAGTGGGGAAGACACCTGGCATCGGCCTCTGACCTCTGACCTCTGTGTGTGCGCCTGTATACACATAAGCCTTTAGACGCTGCTTTCATTTTTTAATGTTTTATATAATTTATTTTTGTTATTTTCAAGATTGCAGTTTTCTGAGACTGGTCTCCTATTTCTGAGCTGAAACTATAGCACAGACTGTGTACCCAGCTGCATTTGACCTTCAGCAGTCTGCTCTCCATTTTTCTCTTTTCAGTTGTATGCCTTGGCCTCTGTCTTAAGATTGTCTATTTTTTTTTACCAGACTTTGTCTTTCTTACAGAGGTAGCTGAGGAGCTTGGGAGAACCGCCTCCTCATCATCATCTGTGGTTCCATACCTGCCTCGATTACCGCTACTTCCTTCCAAGACGAGGACCCTGAAGAAGCAGGGGGAGAACAAAGAGAACCTAGATGGGGGCCTTGATGTCTCCAAGAGCCTGGCCTCCAGCTCAGCACCAGGTAGGAGGGGTCAGAGCGGAAAAGGTACCCACTGAAGAGCCAGGGACCAGGATGCTTCCGGGCCTTGGGCCTGCACTGCCAATGTGGGCAGTCCTATCTAGCTCCATATAATCTGTTACCAGTTCTGTATTTTTAGTCCCTGGCTCCCAGGTAGTTACTTAGATGGGTGATGACATACACCTGTATTCTAGAGAAGGGATGAGCACAGAACAAACCAGCAGGTGTCACCACTAATGTACACATCACAGTTGGAACACTAGTCACTGAATCAGTGATTTATCTGTCAATTTCCTGAGTAGTGCCAACATCTGACATTTTATAAATGCAGACAGAACTTTCTAATTTAGTCATACTAACTGATTCACCTCTTGTCTTTCCTGTTATTGATTGGCCGTTTCTCAGCAGGGTTCATTAGAAGCACACAGGCCTCCAGTGGGTCCCCAGCTCTGCCTCGAAAGCAAAGAGATAAGTCACCCAGCAGCCTCTTAGAAGATGCCAAAGAGACATGCTTCACTAGGGATAGGAAGGGAGGCTTCTTCAGCTCCTTCATGAAAAAGAGAAACGCCCCCACGCCCCCTAAGCGCAGCAGCTCCTTTCGAGAAATGGAGAATCAGCCCCACAAGAAATATGAACTCACGGGTAACTTCTCACCTGTTGCTTCTCTACAGCATGCTGATGGGTTCTCTTTCACTCCCGGCCAGCAAGAGTCGAATCTGGTGCCAGCCAAGTGCTATGGGGGGAGCTTTGCACAGAGGAACCTCTGTGGTGATGATGACAGTGGTGGGGGTGGGGGCAGTGGCACTGCTGGGGGTGGGTGGTCTGGTATCACAGGCTTCTTTACACCTCGCTTAATCAAAAAGACACTGGGCTTGCGAGCAGGTAAACCGGCAGCCAGTGATGACACTTCCAAGCCTTTTCCAAGGTCAAACTCTACATCTTCCATGTCCTCAGGGCTTCCAGAGCAGGATAGGATGGCAATGACCCTTCCCAGGAACTGCCAGAGGTCCAAACTCCAGCTGGAAAGGACAGTGTCCACCTCTTCTCAACCAGAAGAGAATGTGGACAGGGCTAATGACATGCTTCCAAAAAAATCTGAGGAAGGTGCTGCTCCAGCCAGGGAGAGACCAAAAGCCAAACTATTGCCCAGAGGAGCCACGGCTCCTCCCCTGAGAGCCCCCGATCCAGCCGTCACAGAGAGTGACTCTCCAGGGCTAGGGGCGGCTGGAGTGGCAGCTGTCCCCAAAGGCAAGGAAAGGAATGGTGGGACGCGACTTGGAGTCGCTGGAGTCCCAGAGGATGGGGAGCAGCCAGGCTGGTCTTCTCCAGCCAAGGCTGTAGCTGTCCTCCCAACCACTCACAACCACAAAGTGCCAGTCCTTATCTCACCCACTCTGAAACACACTCCAGCTGATGTGCAGCTCATTGGCACAGACTCTCAGGGGAACAAATTCAAGCTCTTATCTGAGCATCAGGTCACATCCTCTGGAGACAAGGACCGACCCCGACGGGTAAAACCAAAGTGTGCCCCACCCCCACCACCAGTAATGAGACTACTACAGCATCCGTCCACATGCTCAGAACCCGAGGAAGAGCCAACTGCCCCACCTGCAGGACAGCACACTCCAGAAACCCAGGAGGGAGGAAAAAAGGCAGCTCCAGGCCCAGTGCCCAGTAGTGGGAAACCTGGGAGGCCAGTCATGCCTCCACCTCAAGTGCCTTTGCCCACATCTTCCATCTCACCAGCCAAAATGGCCAATGGCACAGCAGGTACTAAGGTGGCCCTGAGAAAAACCAAACAGGCAGCTGAGAAAATCTCAGCTGACAAAATCAGCAAAGAGGCCCTGCTGGAGTGTGCCGACCTACTGTCCAATGCAATCACGGAACCTGTGCCCAATAGCCAACTGGTAGACACTGGGCACCAGCTGCTCGACTACTGCTCAGGGTATGTGGACTGCATCCCTCAGACTCGCAACAAATTTGCCTTCCGAGAGGCTGTGAGCAAACTGGAACTTAGCTTACAGGAGCTGCAGGTATCTTCCACAGCTGCTGGTGTGCCTGGGACAAACCCTGTCCTTAATAACTTATTGTCATGTGTACAGGAAATTAGCGATGTGGTGCAGAGGTAGCCATTGTCAGCCTAGTGGGGAAATGCACACATTCTGAGGGGAGAGGGAAAGGGACTCGTTTTCCTGTGTTCTCGTTCTCAAACAGTGAAAGACTGATACTTGAGTGTGTTTATGTGAAGTACCTCAGATCCCTGAGTTCTCACGTTTACAGGTTCATCTCAAAACAGCAGAAAGGAAATCACATAAGTAGATAAAAAGTCAGTTTGGAGGAGCAGGGCAATGTGGACAGAGTTGGAAACTGCACCGGAAAATAAGGGAGCATCATGTATATGTCATAGAAACGCCCAGCCGTCCCTCCCTGTCTGGTGTGGCCTGAGGTCTCCATTGGGCTGCTCTCAGTTGTGCTGTACCACGAAACAGGCCTTGACCTGGCAGGTCCTGGGGGCTATCACGTTTCAGTTCACTCTGCAGATCTGGGTAACATGAGAAAGCAATGTGAAGGATGTAGCAGGAGGTGTTTTATTCAAGGCCAGTAGAATTGACTGTTGGTCTTGCTTCCATGGTCATCGCTGTTGTAGCAAGAACTGCAAATTAGATGACCGGAGTGATCAACTGGGAAGCATGGCCCTTTCCATCTGCTTTGCCCTGTTTACCATGGGTGTGTCAGTTGGTGCAGGAAGTCCAGAATGCAGGGTAAGTTTGGTCAGGTGGACCTGCAAGCTCTCGTGCTGGTTAGCAGTCACTTCTCCCACTCTTCTGGCATGCTGCTTGCTAATAGGCCAGTATCCACCTGCTGCTTGTTGGTGGCTCTCTGTTAGCCATGGGCATAGGGGTGGTCTTAGTTCTCTGTCCTTTGCCGGGCAGTCTGTCTTCCTTCATTCCTAGCAGCATACCCGGCATTACCCAGCATCAGTGTTGAAAACAGTGCTCACTGCAGGTTCTCATATGCCCCCAAACACTGACATACTGACCACTCCAGCAGCTATACGTATTCTTTAGTCCATTACAACACCAAGCAGGTACAGTACCTTCTTGAAACTGTGGCTGGCCTGGGGACCTGAGACTGAGCTTGTTCAATTCACATGCTGCTTATACCTTTCCCTCCTTAAACCCATCTGGGTGGACGTAAGGGAAGCCGTTTTCACTGAGGGCTTGCCTCCACAGCGTTTCTCACGTTCTTTTTTTTTGTTCACATACCCCTAACCCCTTGTTGCACTTGGAGTTTGTGTTGGAAATATGCTTTATTTATTTTCTCCTTTCATCTCTATTTTAAGAGTGCATAATAGAAGGAGTGGGTTATTTTCAGGGAGCACCAATTAGGCCCAGAAACCTAAGGTTTAACCTGAGAATCGATTTTGCCCTTGAAAATTGGGCATTTCCCTTCCCTAATTACAATAGAGTAACATGGAATAGAACAGGTTAACATTACTGATGTTTTTGGTGTTGGGTCTAATTCCAGTTACTGATTTTTTTTTTAACTTTGTGAACACCCCTTTCATTCTTCAAAGAGAACCAATACAAAATATAGTGATTTTTCTTTTTCCAAAGGAATATTAATGTAGGAAGATGGGAATTGAGCACTAAGCAGTGTTTTCTTCCTGACTCATTGATCTGCTGTCAAGTTGCTGCCCTGTCTTCTGATCTATTAATTGAAGGCAATAGCCCACATTCTCCAGAGTGTCTTGCAGACGTAATCTACCACTCTCGCTGAGAGCCTCTCTGGGAAGCTCTTTACTTAATGTTGGGTCGTTGGGTCGCTTTTCATTCTCTTTGCTGAATCACAAATAAACTTTTGAACTGCTGTTCTTACAGAATGGGGCCAGAATCCTAAGGGGAAACTATTTCAAGTTGCATATGGCATCCTTGACCAAGGAAGAAATTTAGTTTTCAATTAGAAAAAGGAAATCTGGATGCCGGTCACTGCTGCTCCAGAGAAGCTCAGGGTAAGAGGAGGCTTGGGATGAAGGAGGCAGCCCTGCAGTGGTAGTGTGTTCCCACAGCTGCAGCCAGGCAGCTAGGTTTCAGGTTAATGCCCTGGAATCACTGAAGAGAATTCCCCCACCTTGTTGGCCGCTATTCTCCACATGGGATGTACCTATAAACTTGAATTTATTCTAGCAGTTAGCTTTGTACGGTGGGGACGAGGAAGTGAAAACTTGAGGGGATTATTAAAGCTGCTTAGCATAAATCTCTGCCGTGCCGCCGCAGTGGGATGTCTTAAGGGATGGTGGTGGTTTTGAGTTTGGGTCTCGTCTTTTGTTTGTTTGTTGTTGGTTTTCCCTTCAGAGTTCTGAAAATAGGCTTGGAGAAACACTACTGAGTCCCTTGGCTGTCTGCTTTTCTTATTCTGAGGTACTGAGTCAAGGCCATGTCTCACTCAAGCATCTGCCCTGCTCACAGCGGGTCATCCCCGAGTCCCTGAGTTGAATTGACTTCTCTCCACACTGTTATGAGTAACATTAAGTGTTGTAGCACGTTCTTTCCACATGAAGCATGAACTGTGTACTTTTCAGGGATTGAGGCCTCAGGCTACAGAGGCACTGTCAACTTGCTGTGGAAGAATTATTTAGGTTTATTTTTTGTCTGCCTGCAAAGGACCAGCTTAGAAAAAGAAAAAAAAAACCACCTTAAAAGGTTTGAATCTAAAGCAGAGAAAACTGCTTTTAGAAACTAACAATGTGATTAATTATATATCCTAAAAATAAAGCAGAGAGCAAGAGAAAAGGCTCTTGTGGTTGGTTCTGGCTACTCCTAAAGCCATGTGACCTTTGCAGATCTTTGCGTTGCCTCGGCTTGATTACTTCATACACAGGTCTTGTGATTCCAGTTGAATTTCCCACCTTCAAATGCAGTGTTTTGTATTGAATATATCCTAGTTATGCTTTATGGGAAGCTTTTTTTTTTTTTAAGCTTTGGGTACAATTATATTGTACATTTTCAGGTGAATCCCATCATAATATCCAGAGAGAGAGAGACCTTAAAATTGGCCTTTTGTATAAGATGTATTTTGCAGTGAGATGGACTGAATGGAACATGGTACACCAAGCTTTGATCTGGCATGTAAGAAACTGATTGGGTCATTTTCAAGATGGCCTTTGAAAAAGTCATCATAGTGGATTGGAGACTAGTTTCTGGCCTCATTTTAAGGTTTCATTTAAAAATATTCCTACTTAAATCCTACTTAAAGTCCTCCTTAGTTGACAATTGGCTAGTAAAATCATTTCCTGCTAATGAAGACAGTGGTTTTTAAGCTTGGGGTACAGCGTTACCGATAGCATGAGGTGATGTTTATAGGATATAGCTGAGGTGCCTGGTACAGTGACTATTCCATGGATGTTAACTGCTAGTATCAACTCCTAACCCAGGAGTTTAAAAACCTCGAGAGGTTTTTAAAGGAAAACTGATGAATTAGCCGCACTTTGTTGGAATTCCTGATGGGATGAGAGACTAGCTAGTGTGCTTCCCAAGATCTTCTCCAGGTTTCAAACACTCAACACTGTCTGAACACTGTACAGAAGAGGAGACGGGAGAGGACAGTTGTCACCAGTCCATATCTTGGAGCAGTTAATGGCAGAGCTGAGGCTAGAATTCAGGAGTCCTGACATTGGCATCTCTGCACAACCTGCTGCCTTGTGAGATGCTCAGCTAGACAATCAGTATACGTGGTGCTGCATGCTTCTAAAGCACAGATTCCGGCAGGCCCTGGCCAGGAAGGGCTTGGATGTTTGGTAATGGCAGTGTAGCTGGACAAGCCTTTAGTAGTACTCTGCTCTGAAGAGAACTTAGCACTGTTCTTCTAGACCTCAGGCACACATAGAGATCTGCACTTTGTAGTTGAAGAATACCAGCTTGGGTTGTTTAAAAACAAAAAGGAAAAAGATTGAAAAACGTAACTAGTCCTACACTCCTTTTTGTTAAAAAAGAAATGTGTTCAGTGTCATTTTAATGCGTGTGAGGTAGTGTATCTGAAAGCACCTTAAGAAATGGAATGCATTCAGCTGTCAAGCTGGATTATGAATGTCTGTAGAGGATGAGCAGACCTGGGCCTGCAGCTAGAGACTCCCCACCTCTGTAGCCTGTTACAGACGTACATACAAAACTGCTGAATGAGCATGTGAAGATACAGCCCATGCTTGCTAATAGTTCAGAGCTGAACACTTTAAGAAAATTAGGGGCCAATTTTTTGGTTTAATTCTCATCTTTAAGAAGTAGTCGTCAAGTGGTGGCATGTAATCCAGTAGTAAAGAAGCTAAGGCAAGAGAATTTCAGGTTCTAGACCAGCCTCGGCTACAGAATGAGACTCAAAGGAGGAATAGATTACTACTCCATTTGGAGCCCTTGATTGGGAGATGAAGGCCCTCTTCCTCTTGAGCAGTCATCTACTGCATGGTCAGCTCTTGGTGTCCTTCCTGTGGTAGGAGCACACTCATTTCCTGTTCATGTTGACACTTGCTTTTTAAAACTAATGTCTTGGGGAGGGGGGAGTGTTGGGGGTAGAAGACTGATGTACTTGAGGAATTTCTAGAATTTTCTACCAGTTATAAATCCCATTGACATTTATCATCACTCCTTAAAAAAAAAAAAACAGTCGCTGAGCTTAACTCACCTATTAGATTATCATGTATTCAGGTAAATCATGTGGCAGCAACTCACATATAGCTACACTCTAGTCTGTCCCCTCCCCCACCTCCCATAATTTTCTACCTTTACTAGTGATGCCTTTTTCATTAGGCTGTATTTTCAGGGGAGTTGGTATAGGGTTGACGGAGTCATCTTTCTTTCTGTTCTCAGTGATCTGTGTCATCGCCTTGCATGCATTAACTTGCTTCATCTGATTCTGGCATACATCTTTATGCCCTCAGCATCTACTATGGCCAGAATTTTCTATATTTCTTGTCAGCTGCTTTAGCTTTGTCAAGCTGGGTGCCTAGTTCTTTAAGAATGCCTGTTTCTGTTTGGATTTTGTAGGCATGCAGAGGCCTAGAGCAAGGCAGTTCCAAGAAAACCTGTGCAGACTGACTGAGGCAGCCTCAGGGTTCCTTTGGCTCTCCTGCTGCCGTTACCTCTGAGGCAGAGAGACGAGACCTTGGGATGGTCCTAAAATTTGGTCTACTCCTAAGTCTTGTGCATAGAGTCGCAGTTTTCCAGCTTAGGAGTCAGTAGTGCTTGGAGTAGTGGTTCCTGTCCCCTGTGCGGATCAGCACAACACAGTGACCCCACTTCAGTGCTATTGCCTGTGATCCTGCTACTGAGGAGGCTGGCTCAGCTCACCCTACTCCCTTGCATGTGTTTGTGTTCCATCTTTACTGTGTGATGATAACTCTGTTTTTGGACTAGCTCCCTAGGTGCCCCAGGAGGACCCTGGATGAGGTCTGGGCAGTTGATCTTGATTAGAAACTGACAGAACTCATCCTCAGAGATTTGTACCATCAAAGATGAGCTCCTGCATATTGCTGGGAGAAACACTTGCCTGCTGGGCTGGTGAGCATAACTGTTGAACTAGATAGAGCTCAAAGT